AAAACGGATTGATCGTGGGAACAATGCTACCGACTCTACAGCGTATTTTGTCAATGTGGAAGCGTTTGTGCCGGTGAGTAATAGATGTTTTAAATGTTATGGAACATAAGGCTATAAGTCATTGGTTACCAAACTTCTCTATGACGGCACCCTAAGGTCCTTTGATATTTTCTGCAGTACTTTTTTCTGCCCACCTCGAACACTTTTACCTTTAAAGCAAAGTGCATCTTTACTTATTTCACGAATTAATGGATCTCTGAAAAAAAAAAAAAATATTCTCAGATGGCAGACCTGTAATTACCAAATGAAAGAGAGCATCTCAAAATTAAGAAACGATATTTATTTTCCCAGGAAATTTGAGGTACCAGTTTGAGAACCGCTTTTTTAATAGCGGAATAATTCTTCCTTGTTTGTTCTCTTCGCAGTTTTTAGCGTTGTTCGGACTTTTTAAGGACACCGAGGCACTCACCAGTGAAGCAATTAACAAGAATCGTTTGTGGAGAACGTCCAAGTTCGCTGGATATGGGAGTAACTTTGGGTTACTGCTTTCGTCCTGTACCGGTGAAAGGTGTGTTGAGCTTCTGGTGTGGTAAATGGAGGTCATGAGAATCACAGTTCCCTTTTTGCGTCCACCGCCCACAGGTCCCGGCAACACCCGCCATTTCTTTTCTTTGCTATTTTCATCAAATTTCGTTGTTTTCCCTAAAATGAAATATGACTGAAAAGCTGTTCTCTTGTCATATTTTTTCTGAGAATACTTTTACTAGTAAGTATTAATGGAAAGTGTCATGATTACCCACAAGAACTTAAAAGATGATTTGATGACTGAAGAGCTGTTGTTCTTTTCTTTAAATGCTTGTTGGAATAAATAACGAATAATGAAAAATAGCCTCATCAGTTTCCATTTTTGCCCGCACGCAAAACCGGAACTTCCATACCTGTGGCCTAATGCAGATACAAAATATTTTAATTTTAACATGCTCATCTTTTGCATACATCCAAGGTGCAGGCCTCTCTGCCAATCACTCAAAACAATCCCGTCAACAAGTGACGAATACAAAACGCAAGGTTCTACATGTGTGGAAAAGTTTATCTACTCCCTTTCTTAAACAGAAAGAAAGTATTTTTTCAAAGAAAAAGTCACCCCCTTTGACACAATGCAATTCAAACTAATTTGTTTATGATTTCAATAATTCTTCAAGAGTATTTCCATTTTTTCGTCACATCAGTTAATTATGCTTTAGAATTCACCCTACGTATTTTCAAATTCCTCGTGAACCAGTTATTTAAGAATAGCGTCAATTCGTAATCGCTTTTCAGAACCATTTTTCAATAAGTAGCTTCCCCTCTTCGTCATGCAATATTAGAGACAGGTTTCCAAGATACTAGGCCTTATCTATGCCCCAGCAGCTGTTTGTGTTTTGGTAGTAAGGGTGCTTTTCACAATTCTTATTTTCCTCGTTTCCCAGTACAAAGGACAAGTTTCCGGATTTATAATACTCATTTTATGAAGTGCGATCCCATGTTCATTCTGTACAATAACTGCTGCAGTATGTATATCTGTAAGTGGATAAAAATTATTTCTGGTTTAAGTGATAACTAGATTTTCGAATTTACTTGTTCCGCCATATTAGAAATCATCTCCATGCATTAAAAAAGAAAAGAAAAGAAAAAAACAATAGAACGCTGCAGGGTCATTTTCCACATTCTTCAACAGGAACGTCTTTGCAATGAAGAAAGGTTCTTAGCCACATCATGAAGACTATATGCTTATTCTTCCAATTTCCAGTTTCTGTACTGTCGTGTCTTCTAATACTGGTACCCATTTGACGATATATTTATCAAAGTCATTGATAGATATGCATCAATCTTCATGTTCAATATTCCTTCAACTTATATATCTTTCTGTACATTCTCCATCACAACTAAGCATGTGTATTGTTTGACATTCTCCTGACTCTTAGCAGAAATCTTACCCTGTTCTATTTTCGGAATACTCTTGACTCTTACACTCCCCTCTTCTTTTTTATCACAACTTTCGTTTTCTACGGAATTTCCCACTGGATTTCCAACTATTTCTGTCTCTTCTCACACCTGACCTTTTCTCGTTTTATCTCGCAAAATGTCAAGCTGTACATATCTTTCTTCTACATCGTTTTTAAAATGCATGGAATCTTCTATATATGTATTTCGTGGGCTCTTGCAATATTTGAACTATATTTCTTGACTGACTGTAGTTGATTTTTTCCATTCCTTTTGCCTTATTATTCAGACAATAGACTTGATCTTCACCTTTAAAGTCTTTACCAGTGGCTCTTACGTAGTGTCTTTTTTCTCACTGTATTCTTGCAGAGGTTTCAGCAGCTATAAAGACTTTTCTTGCTTAATAACTAACACTGATATGTTTGGCAACCATTACACTAGATGTCCCTTCCAGTGCTTGAAGTACTTCATGCATGATGCATGGCCATTTAGGATTATGTCCTTAAAGAAGGGATATGGACTAAAACTCCCTCATCAACAGAAGATAGTATTAGGCTTTGACCCCCATAAGACTTCACAAGGAGTTTTGATCCAGCCTTCAACCATGTTTCCTTAAAATTCTCAACCATATCTATGTGTACTATTTGCCACACATGATTTCGAATATCATGGTGTCCTGTCTACCATATACATAAAATACATCTCTCCTTTCTTGCATTCCTTTAACTCTATTGCCACAGGTTTACTGAACCCTTTGCCATATTCGCAGTTAGTTTTTATACTTTAGACACATCTCACAGCTACTTGAAAACTCTTCAGCTTAATGAAAACAAATTTCATTTTCATTACGTGGATCCTTCAATATTCTCTTAATTATTTTTTATTTATTATGTCCGTAAGTCAATAATTTTCTATTTATTATGTCCGTAAGTTAAAAATACTTTTTCTAGCTTCTTCCAGGTTTCTTTCTTATTCCTTGGAGGAAAACAAGTGTCCTAAAGTAGTACTTCTAAAGCTTTACCTTTTTGCTCTGTATTACTGTCATATATTTCAAATCCAATCTCATTTGTGCTCTAGTCATTGATTTCTTGCTGAAAAGAAAGAAAATTGAATAATTTAACCACATCAGCAGAGACATTTACTCAATATTTACTGAAATATGTGCTTGCATTCACAATGTCCAAAATGTGCCTTTCAATAGCACCTTCTTCATACCTAGCTGACTTATTGTATTGCTTATCCTTGTGTTGAAGTAAAACTTTCAGCCCATCACTCTTTACCAACTTCTCAATGTTCACTTGTTCAAAAATCTATCTCATTTCTTTCTGGAAATGGTAGGGCGGCTGTAACAATTGCTTCTTTCCGATGTACGTAACAGACTGCCATGCATTCGACTTCTGTTTTCACACATTTTGTCACATAACGTAGCGCCTTCCTTCTTAATAGTTAATACAATATAGGACTCTCTCCTACCATTTGTTGAGCTTGATTTGTATTATGACATATCCAAAGCAGAGACAAAATATTTTACTTCCACTATGTAAATACATTGCATTTTTCCGTGTGCACTGATCACTTAACACAAAACAGGTTAATATGTGACGAATACAAAGTGGAAAGTGCCACATCTAGAAGGGGTATGTAGGCTGCATTTAATAAATTTTCTGGGTACGCTATTCTTTATGGCAATTTAGTGATTGGTTTATACCGTCATGTTTGCTTGATTGGCATGACATATAATTGATCGGAAACTTTTCCCTCTCCTATTCAGTACCAACTACTGGGTGACAGCCCTTCACAACGAAGAAAAGATCAAGTTGCCCGGCTGCGACACTAGCTTAGGTTGCTCCTGGGATAAGTTTCTGAACGAGTACGATTTCCTTGAAGACTGTCACTTCTTCCGTCTGTGTATACGATTTACAAGTAAGTGTCTTAACTTTACACTCATGAGAAACATTTTGGTTATTTTGTGAAATGGTTCATCTGAATTTGAGACTCCGCAATTAAGAATGGTAATAATATGACTTCATCTTTGCTTTCAGGAAGAATGTGCCGACCGCATAACTGGCACCTGAGCTACATCATGAACAACTGGATGTAAGAGGACAGAAAAAGCTTTGTAAAGAAGTTTTCACGTCAGGATAATCTTTTCATTTTTGTCGCATAAATAATAATGGACTTTGGAGGTTTATTTTAGTTCATGCAATTATTACTAAATAGTTGAATGCAAATTTTATTTATATGGAGTTGCATTACCAAGAACCAGAATTAATTTCGGGATATAATATGAATAAAATCAGAAATATATGTATCAATATTCTTTCCAGGTTTCTCTTTCATTATTTCGTTATATGTTATTCCTCCAAAAGCCTCCTTTTTTTAATTCCATTCATTTCTCAACCCCACTCGTCTCTAAAGCCTTTTCATTTTGTGGCCTTTTTTCAAGATAGGGTAGGAAAAAAGATTTATTAAAATTAGAATTCTAGTTTCAAGTTGTTCTGGTGAGCATTGATTTTATTTGCACTTTGGACATTCCCATCCAAAATAACCATAACATATTTGAGATTGACCTTTGATACACAACCGCACGAAAAAAAATTTGCAAAATGAGTTTCTTTTTCTCGGAGGCCCCAGGTGTTTAATTTTCTCCTGAAAAGAACACTATAGTTGGATCATCAGTCTGGATATCCAGAAGGCTATGACCACCTTCGTTAGCACCATAGACATTATGAGATGTTTTGGTACTCCATGTCATCACTTCAAGTATACCGCTTATAACATCCTATAGTGAAAACATGCTCTAATGCCTTAATTTTGCAGTTGTGCTTAAACAATATGAAAGATGAGAACCTCTGATAAGAGCAAGTACAAGTGACAGGATAGGTGGAAAACTTTCATATATACATTAATGAAATCGGCTCGAATTTAAAGTGGATTTCAAAGATGGAAGATTATTCCATGTAATTGATACAAAACTGATGGAGCAAAGGTACTTTTTTAATAAAAGAATTTGCAACCTTTAGAGTTTTTATTTACTTATCCCCCTCTCATCACAGTTACTGATCAAATGATTATATAACCATTGGCAGAAGACCGTTGATATTTATGTATGTTTTCTTTCTTTTATACACATATTATCATAATTATTATTCAACAGCCATTCGTTCACACTACAAGGTTTAGGCCTGAGAAGGTATTTGCAATATCCTTTGTCTGATTGGATGCCCTACCAAATCAACTTTGGCTCAACGCTTTACCACTCGTGTAATGTATATTCACAATTTTTTTGCATAATTGGAAAAAAAAATAAACCACATTTGTAAACTACTTATAGAAATCGTTTCATAAAATATTTTCCAAATCATTCTTCTAATTCGACGGAATATGATCATTGCCCGTGCTTCCCAAACTTCCCTGATGACGGCATTGTAAAGAAACTTGCCTCATTTTACTGCCACGGAGAAAAGAACGTGGCAGCGACATCCTAAGAAAACGAGAAGAAAGAGGGAGAAAAGAGGAAATAAAATGTGATAAGGAAGCGCGAAGCGAAAGAAAGAAGATAAAGGGAAAGCAAGTGAGGAGGGAGTAAAGAGATAGAATGGTAAATGGAAGATAGACGTTTAAATAAAAGGGGGACAGGAGAGAGGGTAAGACAAGAGAAAATCAATAGTACATGAAAAAGTGAAAGGAATGGAAAGGGGAAGAGAAGATAAAATGAAACGGAAGAGAAACAAAACAGGAAAGAACAGACGAAACAAAGCAAACAAACAAACATTTTCTTTTGGGGTATTTCAAGCAAACATCGCCAGTGTTTATCCGTAATAAGAGGAAATGTATTTCCTTCCAGCTTATTTGGGCAAATCAGAGGCCTGTGAACGTTGCAGCCTAACGAAGGGTGAATAATGACAGTAATTATACAACAACGATCGACTTAATTAATACCTGCTTCATGAGGGAGAGTAATGTTACCAGTCACTCGGTCTAGAAAGGAAACGAAAGAAAGAAAAAGAGAAAGGGGGAGAAAAATAAAGGTAAGTGAAAGAAGGGAAACAAATTATGCATCATAAACCGAACGTTGTTATTATCACCAAAAAATCGTGTTTAACCTTAGTAATTATCGGGAGGATGTAGACGGTAATAATTGAAGTTAACTTGCTTTCTCGGGCATTTTTATTTATATCAGTCACCTGAAATAGAGTAAATAAATTGGACTTACGTTCCGTGTTGCAATAAGCTGCAACATCTGTGAAACTCATGACGTCAGAGGAAATGGACATTGATTCGTAACAGGGAAACTTAAGGCATTAATTCTATCCAAGGTTCACAACCTGAGGGCCACAGGGTACTTTCTGACGTCGAATTAAACTGAATTTTATCTTACTTACAAATACCCACATATGATTATTTCTCACACATTAATGAATCAGAATCTTTCCGTTAAGTGTCCTTGTTCTATAGCTGTTGACACCATTACGCTATTAATAACAAGTAATAACTGAATCTAAAAAGATAACAGGCGTTGAACGGTGCCATGGAGATTATTATTTATGGCTACAGAAGGAAAGCTATCGGGAACCACTGCTCCTATACTTCGACTCACTAATTATGGCTCGAGGATACGGGGAGACACAAACAAAACTCGCAGAGAAAAAGTTCAAACAATTATAGGTTTCGCAGCAAAGGTAGCCGTAGGAGGTCTAAAAATGTATGATCATGCAACTCCCGCACCTGAGCAGCTAAAATGGCGAAAGGTAGTTGGTAATTGTGTTTAAAGTGAATGATGAATTTGTTTAATGTAGATGATAAAGGTGTTTAAAGTGGGTCATTGTGTGTCTTGGTGTCTAAATTCAATAAAATCAGTAACTGGATAATCAGTTACCTAACTGGCTCCATAATCTAATAACTGTTGGATATAATTAGAGGTATTACTACAAGACAAGGTAATAATTTGTTCGCCTCAAGGACTAATATCATAACTGGTATGAAAATGATAATAGTAAAAGTCCCTTTACTCTGGAATAAGATTGGAAATACATTCTATCTAAACAACATTGATTTTTATTTGTGGTAATTTTCTGAAACATCATGGATATTGCATTGGAATTTCTCTGGCCGGTATACTGTGGTGCCCCGTTTTTTTATTGTTTAATGTTAATGTCCTGAAATGAGTGTTTTCTGGTCATAACCTATACCTCTTATAATTTTAAGATATGCATGAGTATATTCCTTCATGTACATTTTTTGTAAATAAACCTTATTGCACATTTTATACTTTGTAAAGGCATTTTAGTGAACATTCTCTCTCTCTCTCTCTCTCTCTCTCTCTCTCTCTCTCTCTCTCTCTCTCTCTCTCTCTCTCTCTCTCTCTCTCTCTCTCTTCTCTCTCTCTCTCTCACTCCCTCTTTCTCTTTCTCTCCTCTCCTCTCTCTCCCTCTCTCTCACTCCCTCTTTCTCTTTCTCTCTCTCCCTCTCCTTCTCCCCCTCCCCTTCTTTCTCTGGAGAGCCGTCAGTATCCCT